ATCTCACTTAAATCCATGAGTACAATTGGAAGGCGGTTTGCCTGTTTTATCTTTATTCAAAGTTGGAAGATGAATGTCGCTAGAATACAAATCAGGTCATAGGGGTGTGTCCAGAGATTTATCTCCGAAATCATAGGGCATATGTGAAAATTCACAGTGCATAAGAAACATCTAGGGTGGAAAAAGAAATTCACTTTTTAGAACCCTTCATAAAAATTTGGTAGTCCATTTCACTTTGATGTTGGGTTCTGACTAGACAAATAAGCATACCCCATCCATTTAGATATGTCTTGCAAAAGTCTTAAAAAATATAGGATGAGATGAAACGAATATAGTTGAGGGTGTGAATCTCGTTCCGTATTAAAAGTGATGGTGGGACGGGCATGTGAGGATTCTACATTTTAAGTTCAGAAATACAAAATTTATATTAACGTCCATGTTTGTAAAAATTCAAAAAAAAAGAAAAGAAAAGAACAGAACGAGACAAACACATTAGAGGATGCATGTCTAAATTATTAACTTACCACGCATTAAAGTACAAACAAAACAGATATAATCAATGAATTAGATCCGTTTTATCATCTTAATTTTGATCTCTTGTGAATTGAATTATTTTTATATTTTTTTAAATAAATTTTTGCTTATAAAAAAGTAATACGATGAAATTCAAATATGCAATTAATGTAATTGTAATTTATTAAAATCCCATTCGAATTTTGAAGCATGACTTGCTTGAATTATTACAGGGGAAATGAACAAGTTTACCTTGCATTAAAACATAATTTGAATGTTGACTCTAATAACGTGTGATTACTAAAGAAAAAAAAAAAGAAATATAAGGATAAAAATGTAATATCATACATAAAGAATATTACTATTATGGCTGTGAGTAAAGCTGGAGAAAGTTGTAATTGTAACAATAGAGAAAAATTGGTCACAGAATATGTGTGAATGAATAAAATAAAAAGAGTGTACTACTATAGGTGGTGTTGTGTTGAAACAGCGTTTTATGATATTTTTGGGGTTTGACTTAAACCACTGGATGTGCCCCAATTATTCATTCTTATTGATTAAATTTAGATTTTTTCTGTATCGTTGAATAAGATTGAGCCACGTATCAATGTGGGACCCAATAGCAGGTTCTGTGAAGTTTACCGTTGGAATCAAGGAAGAGAGTAAGGACAGACAGAGACACACGCACACGTTCTTTTCTGGTATTTGGCTTATTTCGCATCATGACCGTTGCCACCTGCCACCCCAATTTTGTATTTTTTTTTCCTTCTTTTTCAACGCATTATCTACTAGGAGTCCTAATTATAATTATATAAATAAATTGACATAATTAGTTATTAAATTTTTTTTGTAATAGAATGTTATTTTATTAAAAATTTATTATAATATTATATATTGTTGTGTATGATTAGTGTGAGAGATTAATTATTATATACTATTTGTGTAAATATATATATATATATATATATATATATATATATATATATATATATATATATATATATATATATATATATATATATATATATATATATATATATATATATATATATATATATATATATATATATATATATATATATTTCAATTAAATTTATAGATTGGAAAGTTTGATTTAAATCTATATCATTGTACACTTAAAATATATTTAAAAAGAATTTGAGATGCATATTTGCAAAAACATGTGCAAACTTTTAGCATCGATAAATATTTACAACAAACAAGGACAAATATTTTCCAATGAATATCATTCATCTAATTTAAATCTATAATTTATATACTTTTAGAGGTTAATTAATCAATCTATAGTTTAACACTAATATTTCATAAACTCAATTGAACTGGCAGGAAAATGTATGCAAGTATAAGCATATGAATCTCCTTCAGACACAACGATATTTTAATAGATTTATGAATATAGAATATGCTGTGAAAGATATAAAGAACAAATACACTAATGTCAGCAAGAATCTTAGCACAGCGGAAATTGCGGGAATCAACTACCTTGGAGAAACCTCAAATGCTCGTGAAGACGGAAGTTTTGAGGAGAAGCACAACGAAATAGAATTGGAAAAACCTAAGTCACCTCCAACTCCTGAAAAGGGAAGAAAGCTATGGGCTGATGTGTTAAAGGACAATAGGAATCCGGCGAAAGGTCGTACTATGAAGTTCATACCCCCTCAAGTCGTGGAAGGGAAAATCGAGGTTCAAATTGAAGAAGATGATGTCAGTTCTGAAGTCAAGTTCTGGGAATCTTCTCTGATTCTTTATGCAATGGAAGCGGATTTGAGTATGAATGCTGTCAAGAATTTTATGGCCAGATCTTGGAACTTTGTTCAACTGCCGGACATGTATTTCAATGATGAAGGGTATTTCATTCTCTGGTTCAAATCTTTCACCGATCGAGACGAAGTTATGCTGAGAGGACCGTACATGTTAAGAAACATTCCTTTGTTGATTCGTGAATGGAGGCCAGATTTTAAGATCAAGGATGAACTCTTACGAACCCTACCTATTTGGGTAAAACTTTCCCAACTCCCTATCGTTTTGTGGGGTGATACAAGCCTGAATAAGATTGGGAGTGCCCTGGGTAAGCCTATTATGACAGATGAATGTACTGCTAATAGACTGCGAGTATCCTATGCGCGTATTCTTGTTGAAATGGATATTACAAAGGAGCTACCTCAATCAATCACCATTACTGATCCTGCAGGAGAAAAGATGCAACAATCAATTGAGTATGAGTGGAAACCTCTTTTCTGCAACAAATGTCAAAAGGTAGGTCACTGCTGTGATAAGCCTAAGATGAGGAAACAATGGATACCTAGGAATGTGAAGCAACCTGAAGCTAATGTGATGTCAAATAAGGCTGAGGATGATAATAAAGGGCCTATTGAAGTAGGAAATGTCAATATAGATATAGTTCATATCAGGAAGGGTAATGCTAGTTCTACTGCTGCTGAGACTATCAGAAATAAGGATGTGGAAACAGTTATGGATAAATGGGCTGAGGTTATTACCAGTGGTAGAGATAGAGGTAAAAAGAAAGGTAATGTTAGAGCTGCAGGTGTGCTTTCATATGATAATGGGTTTGAGGCTCTAGAGATTTTGAAGGATCTCCTAGAGGCTCAAAACACTGGCCAATGATTGTCTCTTGGAATGTCAGGGGGCTGAATAAAATGGGGAAGCTAAAGGAGACTAGCTCCCGTCTCCTAAACCTTCATCCCAACATTGCAATACTACTTGAAACTAGAGTTAAATGTGATAAAGCAAAGAAAGTTAGAGACTGTCTTAACCTCAGAGGTAAATATATTGATAACTATAAATCTCATTCCAATGGCAGGATTTGGATTTTTTGGGATGACAGTTATAAGGACATCAGATTGGTGAGTTGCACATCTTAGATGATACACTGTGGAATATATGATGCCAATGGTAACTTCCAAAACTGGATGACAGCTATTTATGCTATGAATCAGTTGGACCAAAGAAGGAAATTATAGGATGATTTGGTGTACATACATAACAACCAACAAGGGCCTTGGTTCCTTATGGGGGATTTTAATAATGTGACAAAATCCATGGATAGGATTGGGGGAAACTTGGTGGCTGAGAGAGAATATGTTGATTTAAGAAACTTGATGGATCATGCTGGGCTTTTTGAGAAGGATAGCACATGTGATTATTTTACCTGGACAAATAAGCACTCTGTAGGTACTATTTACTCAAAAATTGATCATGTGCTTGGTAACATTGACTGGTTGCAGGGAAACAGTGATATGAATCTAGAGATTCTCCCACCTAGTATTTTTGATCACTGCTTACTTTGTTTGTCTGACCAAAAAAGAAACAGGATTGTACACACCAACTTCAAGTTTACTAATAGTGTGATAAAGGTGGCTGGGTATCAGGACATTGTAAAGCAGAGTTGGCATAAAGTGTGTGTGGGAAGACCTATGGCTCGTTTGTGGTACAAGCTGCTGAGGTTGCAGGCTCCTCTTATCAAATTGAGCAAGCAGTTCTCTCACCTCCATATGTCCATTGTTAAAGCCAGGACTGAACTACTCAAAGCGCAGGAAGAGTTAATGGTGGACAGAATGAATGTAAGGAACATAGATAAGGTGAGAAAGTTTACTGATGAAGTGATTTACCTGCAGGACCTTAATGTTAAAATGCTAAGACAGAGATCAAAATTGGATTGACTTAGAGAAGGTGATTCAAATTCAGCTTTCTTCTATGCCTACCTCAACTCTAGACATGCAGTTACTCACCTCAGTCAACTTCAAAAGGAGGATGGCACTTATATTCAGAATATGCCTGACATAGAAAAGGAGGTTTGTGACTTTTATGCAAAACTGTATGGGATTCAAGAACATAGGGTGAGTATGATTGATATCAATGCTATGAGGGAGGGGCCACAGTTAACTATGATGCAGAGAGCTGAACTTATTACCCCTGTGACTGTTGCTGAAATTCGTACTGCTATTAAAGGGATTGGGGACTTAAAGAGCCCTGGTATTGATGGGTATGGTGGAATTTTTTTTAAGGCTAGCTGGAATGTCATAGAGCAAGATGTTGTTGAAGCTGTCCAGGAATTCTTCGAGAAAAATGTGATGTACAAAAGATTTAATGAGACTATTGTTACATTGATCCCTAAACATCCTGCTGCAAAAATGATAAAAGAGTATAGGCCTATTGCAGGGTGCACAACTATTTATAAAATCATCTCCAAGATCCTCACTGCGTGACTTGGTAGAGTTTTGGGGTCTATAATCAGCAAAGCTCAGGCAACATTTGTACCAGGTCAGAATATTCAATCTCATATTTTATTGGCAAAGGAATTATTAAAAGGTTACAATAGGAAAAATGGCACGCCTAGATGCATGGTCCAGCTTGATATTCAAAAAGCATATGACATGGTGGATTGGGGTGCTCTTGGAAATATCTTCAATGAGATAGGGATGCCATAGAGGTTTGTTGATTGGATCATGACTGCTGTTACCATGGTCTCTTATAGATTCAATATAAATGGCAATTACACTGACAAGGTAGAAGCAAGAAGGGGTATTAGACAAGGGGATCCATTGTCCCCCCTCCTATTTGTGATTATTATGGAGTACCTTAGCAGGTTGCTATTCAGAATGCAAAGAAATTCGGATTTCAATCACCATGCCAGATGTGAAAAGCCGCAGCTCACCCATCTTACATTTGCTGATGATCTCCTACTGTTCTCTAGAGGTGATAAAGGTTCCATGGAGATTCTGCAGCGCACCATCACTAGCTTTTTGGATTCAACAGGTATGAAGATTAACCCTGCCAAGAGTAAAGTGTATTTTGGTAGTGTTTCAGATCCTGTTAAGTACTCAATTCTGAGTTCTACTGCTTACAATGAGGGGACTCTCCCATTTAGATATCTTGGAGTCCCAGTGAGTAGCAAAAAGCTGTCTGTGATTCATTATATGTCGTTGGTGGATAAACTGTTGAGTAGGATTACTCATTGGAGCTCTCGACTTCTTAGTTATGCCAGTAGATTACAGTTGATTAAGACTGTGCTATATGCTATTACCTCATATTGGATGCAGTGTGTTTGTTTCCCTAAAACTGTGATTAGCAAAATCAATTCCATCTGTAGATCCTTTCTCTGGACAGGAGGTAGCACCATAAGTAGGAAGAGTCTGATTGCTTGGGATAAGGTTTGTAAACCTACTGTGAAAGGAGGGTTGAATGTGCTTGATTTAGTGGTTTGGAATAGCATGTTTATGATGAAGTTACTCTGGAATATATGCAGGAAAACGGATGATCTTTGGGTTCGGTGGATTCATGCCTATTACCTGAAGAATGAGGATGTAATGTATAGAATGGTTAAAAATTCTGATTCAAATATTTTTAAAACTATTCTTTTGCAGAGGGAAAACATAGGCAATATGCAGATGGTTTGGAATGAGATGGTGCAAGCAGGGAGATTCATTGGTAGAAGAGTGTATGCGAACTTGTTACCGGCCACACCTAATGTTGTTTGGGCCAAGCTAATTCTCCACAATAGAGCAAGACCTCGTGCAATATATACTCTCTGGATGATCTGTCATGGGAAGCTAGCCACAAAGGCCATATTGAATCGGTTTGGTATGGTGAATAATGACCAATGTGTTTTTTGCTCTGCGGTGGAAACCATTGACCACCTATTTTTTGAGTGTGCTACTTTGAGGAAGGCTTGGGTAGAAACACTTCTTTGGATTGGTATCCATCCCGGGAATTGGAATGAGGAGAGAAACTGGATTTTGAATTGTTATGGTGGTAAAGGTTGGAAAGCTGATCTTGTTAGATTAGCTCTGACTGAAACTTTACATGAGTTGTGGAGATTTAGAAATGACACTTGTTTTAATCAAAGAAATGACAATAGAAATTGTACAGATAGAATCATTAACAACATTGTCTATAGAGGGTGGTCGAGTCCTAAGCTTAGACCACATATAGCTTTTTTGATGGTACAGTAAGTTTTATGTAGTTTCATGGTGTGGGCTGGATTTTGATCGCCTTGTATTACTTATGTCTTTGGATTAATGAAATTTTGATTAAAAAAAAAACAAATACACTAAATATTTGTTATGTCAGACAAATAACAATCACAACCACATTAAACACATTCAATCAAAAACAATATATCCATTAGTGAAAATAAAAGCATATTAACAGGAACATAAATACATTTAAATTATTTATTCAGGTTTATCTAAAATGATTTACACTAACACGAAAAAGTGGTTTTCTTGTCCACTGTCAATAAAAAATCTTTAATAATAGTGTTTTGGGCTGGGTTTGTGGCGGACCCATTGTCGAGTACAATCCAATTCAGTTATACGTTGAGAACGGCCTAGAGTGCTGGCCCAATCCGTTGAGGTTAATAGAGAACACATGCTCCTCACCCGAAGACACGTCATCAACTTAACTCGCACACCTCGCAGAATCATTCTGCCTTTCGTAACTGGCAAGTCCATCCACTCGCCGTCTGTGGGAAATTCGTTTCCCCATCTTTTCTTTCCCTGAAACCAAAAGATCAAAACAAAAGTCCCCGAAAATCGATCAACTTGATGACGACAACAGCGGTCACGAAACCGTCCTCTCTCCCGTCCATAATGCTGACAACGACAATGGTATGCCATTTCGGAGGTAAGCACTCCACCGAAGAGAGACGAGAGCACCACCTCCTTCTCCTCCGATGATGCAGCCGACAACGCGTCCAATACGTCGATACTCACAAAGCCCAAAAAGCTCCAAAGAAGACACGAGAGAAATTTCAACCGATTCCGGTACCTCCTAATGCCGACCCAACCATGGTAGGCCTATTCACGACGCTTAACCAAACCAACACGTTGATCTACCAGCAGAATGAGAGGATCAAAGCATTGAAGAAGAATCGTCGTTCACGCTCTCCCCCACAGAGACACTGACGGTATGAGTCCTGAAGCTCGTCGCCATGACGACCAGACTGCTTCTCGTGGTTAGAAAGGTTGCAGCCCCTGAAGCACAACTATACTCCTCCCCACGAGGATTGACACTCTCGGGTGCCAAGAAAAGCAAAGCCAGTGGACGGCCAGATAACCATCGTTCGCCTCCACACAAATCAAAGGGTCGGCCAAAGGACTCGATGCCACGTCGTGATGGAAGCCCTCGGCGAGGGAAGTACGACCATTCCCCACTGCGCTCACCGGTGTGGAGTGACAAGGATGACCCCCGCGGACCATTAGCTCGAGCAATCATGGACGCTCCCCTTCCTGTCGGGTTGTAAAAACCACCGAACCTGAGAACATAAGATGGAATGACGGATCTTGGCGAACACATCGAAAGCATCGCCGCTCTACTGGATCATCGCGGTGTCAGAGGCGTTATCAAATGCAGGTTATTCCCTACTACTTTGAGGAAGGGTGCCATGACGTGGTACAAGATCCTCGCCGATGAATCCATCACTTCCTGGAGAGACCTAGGGAAACAATTTTCGATATAAGTTCCTTGGGCCTCAGTGCAGCAATTAGGTTTAACCAAGTTAAACCTCTTTTCATAAATCAGGGTTATGTCAATTAGGTCATAGGCATTTTACGTTATCCTCAGCATTGCCTAGCATTTCGCCTGAGATAACTAAGCGTCCTAAAATGTTTCCTGGAATCTAGCCTGAGCTAACTCAACAATTATACCAGAAAAATAAACAACGCCCTTGATGTCAGCTACCTGATGTCATAACATTCAGTATGACATCCAATACACTTTGTTCTTAGCTAATCAAACTTACCCTGCAGAACATTACACACGAATGTCATGACATCAGTCAAGACATCTACACACAACATTGTTTTACCATAAAATGCAGCCAATCAAGAACATCTACAAACTCCCCCTTTGGCAAATTTTTGGCTAAAACAATCTGTCACCATATCAGAGAACATATGCAGCAGAAAAGTTCACTACTCACATCTAATCATGCAGGATAACTACTAGCTAATACTACACTCAACACACATGTTGTACTATCAAATCAGATTCAACTACACTACCAATCACACAGACCGTTCTGGATTATGAATGTCCATACATCTCATATGACATCTTGAAAAACACCTGTTCCACAGTACTAAATACCACATGTTAGTTCAGACTACAGATGTCACAACATTTTGTGGAACATCTAGTGATACTCCCCCTCAACTGATGCACAACTACACACCATCTGCAAGTAACCTGCAGAAACACACACTTCCACCAACAGCTAGGATACTACTAAGTTCCAACCAGGAACATACACACACATATAACAGCAATAGCCAAACACACACAAGATCATCATCCTTCTCACAACAGCATATCAGCACACCTGTAACACAACTCAGAGCAGCAACATAACATCAGCACACCTACAAACCTGCTCAGTGCAAACATGCACAGCAGGAAATCTCATCTTCCACCTATGAGGGACATCAACTAAACGCATCTAAGCCTGTTGTTTCTACTACTGCTTCTCCCCCTTTTTAGCCACAAAATTAGATCATAACTAATGAATTAGCATTGATCATACACAGTTGGAAACACAAAAGATAAAGAAATATTACAACACAGCAACACATAAAAGTTGTTCACAAAATAATTTGTTTTGGAGTAAACAAACTAAGAACTCTAGTCATTAGACTCAGAGCTAGCATCATCACTATCACTTTCTTCATTAGTTCCATTCTCAGAACTGGCAGTTGCTTCTTCTGATTCAGCTTCCTGATCATCACCTTCACCAGTCCTATCATCATGCTTATCCTCATCAGTGTCATCAAACTCAGCATCTTCATCCTGCTCAAGAGATCTGATCAACTTTTCTAGATTCAGCTTGCGTGTTTCCAGCTCTTTGCATGTCTCCTTGAGCATGGCAATAACTTCAGCTTTCCCTGTCTTTGAACTCCCCTTGGATGTCTCTCCAAATGTCATGACAATGTCAGGAACATGTGTTCCTTGAAACAACTTGTGATGGAAAGACAAGGAACTTTCTCTCTTGCACTCAGGTTCATTGTCTTTTAGAATATTGGGATACTTAATCAAGATGATCCCACAGAGAAGTGATGGAAATGCAATGGGGCCTTTGACACTATAATTGTCTGCATGCTTCATGGTTTGATCAACGATGTAGGTCCTAATCAAACTTTGTTTTGGTCCCAACAACATAAATGAACTTCCCCAGGATAATAGCAACAATTGATTTATGATTTGTGGGCACCCAGTTGGCAACTCCAATCTTATGCAGCATAGCATACTTCACACTAAGTTTACTGGCAACCAGTTTCCCTTTTGATGGCCAGATTTTGACCTGGTTGGCAGTTATAACTTGACATACCTTGTTGTCAGAAGCAACTAGCTCAGGTTGAGCTTCATCAGATCTCCCCAGATAGTTATTGATGACAGTTGAGGAGAAAGTGGCACACTTTCCTCTTACATATACTTTTCCAAACTCATTTGATTTTCTATCAGCACAGTCTTCTGATAGGTTCACTATGAACTCTTTCACAAGTATTTCATAGCACTTAGAAAACTGAGTGACAGTCCTCATTAAGCCAGCTACATGAATAAGATTCATGATCTCCTTACATTCCAGGGCATTCTAAGCCAACTCTCTTTCCAATGCCAACCTCTTCTGATACACATATTTCCACCTGTTGACACTAGAGGGATAATGAAATGAGATATTGTCAATAGGAACTTCAGGAACACTAGCAGCAAGTTTGCTAGTTGTTGGCTTCTTCTTGGGTGGGATGTTAGTGACATAACAAGCAACATCTGAGTCTGAGTCAGAATCAGTACCTATTTGAGCCTTCTTCTTTGGAACCACCTTGCTTCAAGCTGTTGTAGGGCCAACATGGGTACTCTTAATTACAACTTTATTCTTGGTAAGACTCTGAGAAACTGCCTTCTTCCCTTTCCTAGTCATGAGCCTTTTAGCTATGCTAGGGTTGATCGTGGCTATCAGATAATTATCTGAATAATCATCAAGGTTTACTACATCAGCATCATCCTTTTGGACATCATCATCACCATTGTTATCACCTTGCACATTATCATCATCACTCTCAGAAGTTTGGCCCTTATCATCATTCTTTCGTGAGGTTGTACCCATGGTTTCAACATTTTGAGTAACATCAGTTTGTTGATCCAGATGGGGAGCAGGAACCTCAGTGTTCAGGGGGGTGGATATCCCCGGCACATCATGTGGCTCATTCAATATCCTAGATACCATATTTGCAATAGTGTTGTGGGCATCCCTAGAGCCTTCCTTATTGGTATCCTCAGAAGGGATGGAGGTTAAAGTGTGAGGGGCCTGACCTGTGACTAGTTCTTTAGGTCTTCTTGCATGCAAAGTCCGTGGTTTCTTCACACTCAGACCTTCAGGGGTCACCATACGCAGGGGTTCCACCTCAAGATCCTGGTTAGGGTTGCTAGAGTCAGCTCTAGCACCAGAATCTGGACCAGCGTTGGTGGTCATCTTCTTGGAGGAGATAGATTTTGATTGTTGAGACATTTCAGGAGACTTTGGCAGTGTGAGAGAAGGTTTTCTGTGGTTGTTGAAAGAGGTATAGAAGATGAAGAAGTGGTATGGGCACCAAATGAAGCAAACGTATCGTGTGTAAGGGGTAGAGTGATATGATTGCAAAAGAAGAGGGAACTCAGAATTTTGACCAATCAGCAAATGATTAAAATTTAGACTATTTAAAATACAATTCCCAAATACCATTAATTGTTATAACTCCTTATAGAGACACATTCCCAATTTTCTTCTCAAGTTTTCAATTTGAGTAGTTTTGAGATTTCTTGTAAAAATGTCAACACTTTGTAGGTCAGAGTCCCCAAGCTCCACACAATTTTTTTCAAAATGATGTCTGTTATCACTATACATGGTTCTGTTATGCTGAATTGGGTTCATATTGATGACACTAAGATTGTCACAATATAATGTCATGACATCCTGAGT